GGATCTTTGAGATTATCTAGCGCAGTGTACTCAACCCATCAGAAGCCATTTCCTTTTCATATCACTATTATGTAATGTCCTCTTTAATATCTAGAATTAAATGCATAAGAAAAATAACCCAGGTATTGATATTTTAAAATTTGATATAACATCTTAACTTTAATATAAAATCAAGATAAAATAAAATAATCCTATACAATAAAAGCCTAATATGGTGTGTCCAGTCATCCAGTTGGCCGTTCAACCAATCAAAGCATAATATGCTAATGATATGCTAAGGACACTCAACTGCTCGCTATGATGTGCACTGACCACCAGGGGGCAGACACTCTGACCAGTAGGTTAGCTTGCTGCTGGGATTCAGCCGATTGGGACTGAGTGAGATGGGCTGGACACGTCTGGAGCCTTCCCACGGCCCCTTCCCAGCTGGCCAACTTTCTATGTCCCTCCCCGGCCCTGATCATGCACCTGTGGGGTCCCTAGGCCTGGCCTGTGCCCTCTCACAATCTGGAACCCCTTGGGGGATGTCAGAGAGCTGGTTTCGGCCCAATCCTGCAAGCCCCGCCAAGGAACCCCACTGGTATACGAATTCATGCACACACTGGGCCTCTAGTTTATAATAAATAGATATGGATTCCCTATGTATATGTTCAGATACAGCTCTTCAAAAAAAATCATAATGAAATTACTTGATAACTATACATTATTAATATGAATAAGTTGGAGTTTACAAGAAGTAAAAGGATCAGTAGTTCTTCCATATAAGAAGTATACAAATAAATGAAGAAGTGAACAAGTTTATATTGATTAGTTATAAATAACTGAGCAAGCATAAGTACAGATAGAATAAAACCTAAAATTAAGAGAAGTAATAAGAGACTAGATATATTTTCATTTGATAAAAGAAAGAGGGAAATAACCTTAATTAAAGTGGAAATAACATGCCAAGAAAAATAATAGGCTGTGGATGAGGGGAAATGAGGAAAGTATGATATTCTTGAAAATGAGCTAAAACTTATTGTGTAGTGTAGTATCAAAATAATTTTCCGTATTATGAAACACAACAAGATATGACCCTGTGCAACATAAACACATCTTCTATATTCAACAATGTACCATGCATTGATATATTCATTTAGTTTCTAATAGTTAAAGGGACCTCAGAGATGATCATCCTATAACCAGCAGCAGGCAAAAGAGGATGGATTGGCAAAAAGTTGTATGGTAAACCTCAAGGGACAGTATCATTTAAGAGTACTGACCCCCAAAATAAATGCATTCCAATATGTACTTTTCACAGCAGAGATCTCATTTTGTTTTTTAAAAATTAAAATATATAAAATGGCAAAACATTTTAAAACACTTAACATAACTCACCGATATCACTGTTTCAGATGTCTGCTAATTTTAAGCTGTGTCTAAGTGTATTCATGAGTCTCAAATAACCACTGTTATTGCATATGTTTATATGTGCAGCTACAAGTTAATATGGATCCAGGGTACTTTTTGTTAGCAGCTTAAATACCATGAGTAGCATGGCTGTCATT